TATGGACTTTTTAATATCTAGACTTGATAAAAAATTAAATCAAAAACTCAAAAAATCATATAAAATCATATAAAATTCTATTAATATTAAAAAAATATTTTTATTATTTTACAATACTAATAGATTTATTTTTAATTAATATTAATATTATTATAATAAAAAAGTTTTTTTTTAATTTAATTTTTTTTTGCCAGAACTGTAAATATTAAATGGTCGTAAAAAAAAACAATAATAATTGACCGTAATATAATTTTTCAGTTATGATGCAGCTTACACAAAACCTTATACTGTAGAGTAATATTTTGAACAATGACATATTATTTTACTTATAAAAAATTATACGTTCAAATAAAGACCGTGGCTACGGATGTTAATATACTTACTTGTTTTAATGATTTGAAAATTTCCATATCATCTTTCAGTAATTGATTTTTCAGTTCGGAACGCTCATGTTATTTTACTACTTGTGGCATAAGAATTTGTTAGGATAACCTGTATTTCATGTAAATATGATTTATATCATGTGATTGTGAACTATTTTTAGTGACCTAAAACGCGTCTTGCAAATCGTTTTTTCTTAACTTGCCATAACAAATTATTACAGAACTTATCTCTTACTTGAACGAGCACACAGAATGGTCTTACACTTAATTTCTAAATCTTCACCACAGTGTTATTCTTTCCTCGCAACCTTTTTCGAACGATTGGACTGTTCTTAACCTCACTTGGACTCGTAGATTTCTGAATCAAGCAACAATACTGAAATCAGACTATGAGGCTGTAGAAAAACAGGTCGTGTATTATTCCCTCTTTGTAATAGGGAGCTCCTGTTTATTGTTGTCTGGACTAGGAGTATTGGCTGTCATTCCATCCCGAGTAATAGTGATGGTAGCTCCTGTTTATTGTCGTCTGGACTGGAGTATTGGCTGTCATTCCAACCTAACTATTGCGACTCGTGTTTTCATCGCCTGAGCTTATTCTGTTCGCTTGTAATATGGAAATGTCCAAATTAACGTTTTCTTATTTCCACTAAGGTAAAAAAGCAAAGTGCATACAAAAGTTTGAAGACCTACTGGAAAGGAATAATCTATGAACGGGAAAAGGTTTTGATACTACTATTCTTTTGTTATCTTTATTTACTATAATATAAATATGATCAAACTTTTGCAAAATAGATGGAAGCAAAGCAAGCACATATCATTGGCAGTATGAAAGTGTACAGCAAAGATGCAGAACATAATGCAGAAAAATTAACCTCCGAAGATTATTCTAATATCTTTCCTTTGCAAAGTGAACACCAAAAAGTAAGGCAATTCTTGAAGCTCTAAGAAATAAGCCCAACTTATCCATATACTTCTCTGTAATAGAACGAAGCGACGGGCAGAGAGGATGAAATGAACTTGTCTCAAAAGTAAGTTATATTATCATCAAATTCATCTGTTGTTATCTGTGATTAACATATTACACAATTGGTTCAAGTCAAGAAATAATCTCGGATGCCGAAAACAATCCGTTTTTGGTATCCGAATATGACAAGGATGAAGTATTATTGAGAATGTTTTTAGTTATTAAAGTTCCGACTATTTGTAGCAGGTATGTATCTAGGATTATATTTACTTGTTCTAACGCTTTTTTCTGTGAACAGTTTACTAAACAAGAAGTGTTGACCGAAGGTATAGAATCACCAACCAGCGTAAACGAGGGAATGAAATTGAAGGAAACATTTCACATAAAAAGGTAAACATTATAGGTGGTAAAGTTAAGAGAACATAAGCTCATTTATTTTCTATATTTAGGCAAAAAAAAATGTGGAAAGTGCTCCAAACACGAGACCAAGAAATGATAGCCAAAAGTCTTCCTCTTCTGATGTAGATCTTGAAAATGAAGAAATAAAGTTTGATTTTACAGTCATTGAAAAAGAATTGCAACAGGAACCAACCAATGATGTATGCCACGTCAAGATCTTTGTTCTTTTATTATTAATATCTCACAGTTTACTTCCGTTTTTTAGTGGATAGTTGGTTCCATCAACGTATCTCAAAGATTTAGACAATATCAGATAGGTGTACTTGAGAAGGCTAAGACCAACGGATTAAAGTGGAGTGATTTTTATGAAATATTGTAAGTATTTTTGAATATGTAATAATACTGGATGATGTATTATTCTAATGACTTTGCGTGCCTGATAGGGCATTGTCTTCGATAATTGCATTCAGCTCGTCTTGTCCTTACCCTGCTTCGATTTTCACAAATCGGGAATGGCAAAATATTACGTGTGAAAATCCATATGTTGTAACTGATCCAGTACTACCAACGGAGGTTATGTCCTCTTTACGGAATGCATCTGCTGATTGTTTAGAAGGAAAGACCATTTTTTTGTCTGTATATGATTCTGAAATTAGTCAAGCTGTTTCTAGAATTTTCAATGCCATGTAAGTCTTGATTCAGTAACTGTGAACCAAGATCAAAATCTGCCTCTTATCTTTTTTTCATGTATAACAGGTGTAATAGCGTTCCTGCCGTTTCCCCAACCAAAACATCGGAGGACGAACACTGTTTCCAGTTGCTACACCCAGTCATCCGTCCGTTGTTTTTTACCAGTTCGAATAAAGAATATAAGATTCGATTGAATCGTGCAACAAAGGGTACAGCAATGACGGCGAATTTTTCGTGTTTGGTCGACGAAATTTATATTTTGAATTTAGAGATCAAACCACCTGGATTTACACCTCTCCAACAACAAAAGACAAGTTGAAGGTACAGTTGCGAGGGCGCAAGTCCATCAATCAGTTGTTAAAAATGAAAGGTGGTCCAGAGGAAGCAATATTGTTAATAAATCAAGGTATGTGTGCTCATAGTTGATAAAGCTTGATTTAATTATGTATATTAAACTATACCTTCAGGAGATTTAGTAAAATCATATGTTATGGATCTCAAATACGATGGGCTTTACCGGTCATGGCCTTTTTTAACTACCCGACTAGTCAAAGATAAAACTACCATTCCTTTGCTGGAGTCAAACATCCGGCACTTTATGGCACTAGAGGTACACACACACAACATATTTCATTTTTATGTTTACAATGAAATAGTTAACAACTTTCATTTATATTTTGCATTGGCAGGAATGAATCAGCAAAATTGCTGAAGACTACAATTGTCGGATTTCTCAAAGTGGCACAGCTACTCCTCCATTACAAATGCGTTATATGCGATCAACGATGAGTACATTAAATATGCAAGTTATAACTTGTTTATTGTGCCGTTCAGACATATCTGAAAAATAAATTTCGCTTCCGGCCCGGAAGGAAAAATGCCAAGAAATATCTGATGCATTACAAACAATAGCTCGCTTATATGAAAAAGCATGCAATGCGGAAAACGAAACACTAAAAGCAAATCAAGCTGAAACTTTATGCCTATATAACTATTTTAAGGAATTCTATTATCAGGTTAAAGAGATTATATGAACAGACCAGATCGGTGAGAAAAAAGAGAAGGGAATAATTTATAATTTTATTATTAAGCAAATCCCTGGCACTAAACGAGAAAATTTATACAAAAAGACAGAGCTAGAAGATTCATGAGCTATTCGAAAAGATAGAAGTGGATAAAATTAAGTATATTAAAACATATAGTGCAAACTCTATTTCTGAATTATCCGATAGTCAAATACAAACCATCATTGATTACTTCTCCAAGAATCCCAGTACCGAATTACCCGATAATCAGCGGAGCTGGCACGGCCAAGATAGTTTTAACAATTCTTTAGATAATTTATCCGAAACTGAGATGAGTGAGGAAGTCGAGAAAACTTTACCAGAAACAGAGGCAAATATTTTAACCGCTCCTGTTCCATTGATTCATATTTCTAATTCGGAGATAAGATAATTGAGGAAGTCTCACGAAATGAGGATGCTATTGAATCTGAATCTTTACCGGAAACCGAGACCAAGGTAAGTATATCTACTGAATCTCACGTTTCCGATTCATCTAAAGCTGAGGTAAACGTAGTGCCTAAAAAGTTTTCACCAGAAAATCAGATGAGTGTATCAGCATCCCCACCATATGAGAACAAAACTCGACCTCCAATTTCGATCTTACCTGAAGATCCAAAAGAGAAACGAAAACATGGAATTACAATGGTATTGGAAAAGGTTCCCAATTTATCTTTAACTATAGTAATAAAAATGTCGATTACTTTACTTGTTTAACATCATATCGTATATGCAATAAAGTTCATAAAAATGAAAATTTAGAAGGTGAGTGGGGTAGTGGTGATTATGTCAATACAAGCACTTATCGCCTCAGATGCTGGGAAAATAAGTATCAGAATTCAATCCAAATAGTAACTGTAAAGGCATAAGATTGAATAACATATAACCAGCATAAATCACAGCTAACGATCGGATTCACACTCAATTACTATACCCACGAAACACGAATTAAAAGTAATAAATAATTGCTTTATTAATATATTTTTTTCTGATGTTTTTATCCTTCCTCATTAATCGATTCCATAATAGAAAATGTTTGATTATCTCCTACATCGTGCATACTAACATCACTGTCGTCTTGAGATGATGTATTTGGCAAATTAGGTGTTAAATTATTACTGGAGTCAACTACTTCATGGCTAGAAACTTCACTTTATATTTTTTTCTGACCCTTTAGGGGGTGTCTTTTAGAGGCATTTTTTTATTCTTTTTCTCAAGTATGATCGTTGTTCTCTAAGCAAGGCATAGTGAGGAGAGAAAGGTTGCAAAGACTTCCTGTGGTTTAAAAACAACTAAGCTACATTGCAAAGAGTGATTTAATTGTATTCCTGAAAAACTTTATTTCATTAGGATCATGACCAATTACTTAGTTTTAATACCTTTTTACTTTAGCATAAAATCCAAGCGGAGGTGCATTTATCTACAGAAGATCAATTGTAAGAATATATTCATTCCCTGTGGATATCCGAGAATTTCTTAGCCAGCGATCTTAAATCGATTGATAACTCTGAACCTATAGATATTAGAACTCCTTAATTTACATTTTTGGAAAAGTTTCTCAAAAAGAAATTACAAAGACAAATCATTAAAAGGTTAATCAATAAAGGATTATTCCCTTCACATATTATAAAGCATAACACTTATTCACTAAAACTTGATATACTCTCCAATTCCCAGTTAAACATACTTTCAAATACTATCTATAATAAACTATATAAAAATGATGTTAGCAAAAAATCACTGCCTTAAAATAGTCAATCAATATCAACTACTTTCATAATACCTGCAAATTTTATGTGTCTTCTGAAGTCGAAAATTTTTGATAATAATAACTCTGCTAATTCTATGTCCATGAGTTTTGATTTGAAGCAAAAAAAAATAGAGACTTCGCATGTTAGACATGTTTCTTCATTAGTTCAAATTTCAGAAAACAGTTTCAGGATTATTGTCATTGTCTCTGGTTTAAAGTTGAACATGCATATCAATACAAAGAAGTTCAGAATAAACTGCTTGAAAATCATAATATTTGTAAAGTATTTCAGAAGAATCCAAAGGATAAATTCTATACTGCATTAGAGACAACAAAAAAGATTATGCACGGTATCAATATTGAAGGTTATCACCATATCTTTAAACTACAATATTTTAAGAATACTTTTGGAGAAACAATCATTGACTTTTTTGATCTTGCCAATCCTATAGTCACAAAAAATACACAGAATATAATTGATCGTTATTATTATTATACCCATAACAACCTCACCTATTAGTCTAAACAATTCACCAGTAATATAATAGAACATTTTTGCAGTTTTAATGATAGCAACAACAAACCTTACACTATTGTCAATACTGCATTTATCATTGTCAAGAATATCTTGCATGCATTCAGGAACTAATTCAAGGGTTCCAATTACTCTCATATATAGTCAACAATTATTTTCATAATACTTATCCAGCCCTATATACCAAGATGAAAAATCACAATCTTGAGTCAAATGTTTCTAAATTATTTGATGTTTTTTTTATCATTGGTATTAACTATAAGACAATCTCCCAGTTTTATAAGGATCTAAAAAATCATTGAAATATGCTTTGTGTAATGTATCCATTTGGAAATTTCGAAGATGGAAAGCTAACATTTCCAGAATTGAAATTAATTATCCATGCTAGGCAAGGCCAAGTAGTAGCTTTTTAATAAAATCTCCTAGTTAATGAAAATCTTCCAGTCATTGTTAGAGTTAAATACAGTATCATTTTTTATATCTACAATACAGTAATTAAGCAAAAAAAAAAGTTTGGTTCTCTTTTCACTAATTATAATCTGGGCTAGAATAATAATAATAACAAGGATAAGCTATTACTAAAATATCTTCCACCAATGCTAGTATTATGGGGAAATGACAATCGATGATATGGCTTAGAAATTGAGAAAATGACGATTGTGTATTATAGAGGTTGCCAAAACGAATAATCGACCCTTAACCTCATTATTTCTTTTATTTTTATTATTTCTTTTATTTCTTTTATTTTCTTTTGCCATAAGAAAAAGTATAAAAACAATGTAAGGAAATATAGTAGAAAAGGGAACAGAAAAATTAGTCAATAAAAAAGTGTTAAAATCGATCTATTTATGGCACTGTTCTGATCAATAAAATCCCTCAAATTACACAAACTCGTCAAATCTACACCTCTTTCTGCCTTTAATCCCCTCCTGTTATAACAGATACCCCTGTCAAAGTGTCGCGAAGTCTAGAATTTCGCCGTTACTGCTGATAGACCCCTGATCCGTAACACTAGGTTCCAAAAATAATAAGATAAAACCAAAAAATCATAAAAAAATGAATATGAGTAATTATTTTTGAAGGTGAATCAAAATTTAAAGTATAATTTTATTACTCTAAAAATAAAACCTTAAATTTTATATCATATGATATTGATTAATAATGTGGTTTTTTTATTAATTTAAATTTCTAAGTATTAAATTTTAAAAAAATTAAAATAGTTATATCTTAATCAATACATAATATTATTTAATAAATAAGTATTAATTTTGAAGCTTATGTTATAGACTTTTATATGAAAAAAGTTTATTAATATATATATATATATTTTTGTAAGTAAACATCATTTCTTTATTTATTTGTATAATGATAGATATACATTGCAAAAGAAACAACATCTCTCATGTATATTAATACAATAAGTTAAATGTTAGATTGTCTACAGTAACCACTAAACTAATATTAAAAAGAAATTTTTAAAACAATATATCTCGTCAAGTGGCTCCGAGCAGCTTAATTACCTACTCAGCATTGAGTGGAAGGAGGTTAGAAAAATCTGAAATTAATTTGGAGATACATTTGATAAAGTTGAATCCACTTTGGATGTATAAGTCCACTACAATAATAGGTGTGTCTATAGTAGTTGATGTTGATGTGAAATTGTTATTGATGTTTTAGTCTTGGCTGGGTTTTTGGTTATTTGTTTTGTTGGGTTGCTGCAACGGTTGTTCCATTTGATACCAGTGAAAGGAAAGGTGTTTGCTGTAATGCAGCGAGGTATCCAAATTGACTTGTAATAGTAAGCTAAGGTTTTGGTTGAAGCTTCAATCCAGTTGGAGAAATTAGTTCTAGATAAGATATTGTCTGTAATGCCACAAGTCAACTCTACTAATTGCCAAGCATGTAAGATAGGTTTGTGGTTACCATTAGGGTGGAAAATATTATTAATGATAATAATAAGTTGGTAAATATCTTCCAATGCTGATAGACATTTGAAGACATGTTGGATATCCTCAGTATATAGGCTATACCAGGACAATATGGATTAGGATATTTTTCTGAATATAATTTGTGAAGGTTTTCTCTAGTAGGGAGAGTTCCTGAGAACAATTTAATTCTGAAGGCAATGAGATCGCTGTATTTGTTAGCTCTAGAGTTTTTAATTCTTTTGTTTGATTTGTTAATAATTTGGAGGCCTTGAGATTTGTGGATATGTCTGAATGTTTGAAAATGGAGAAACTTTACAAATTATGTAGATTTTGATGATGCTCAGAATTTTTTTACACTATCTGATACTGCTGCCTAGTTGTAGGTTATTGATTAGTGGGCTTTTTGAAAAGTGAAGTGGTGAGTTGAACCATTAGAGAGTGTCGTCGAATCTTGGTTTGAATTTAGGATTGGTGTATCTGTATTGAATTGATTTGTCTCGAATTAATTTGTTAATTTTTAGCAATATTGGAGCAAGGTTAATCTATGTCATTCTTCTTGGATAATTGGATACTTTTTGGAGAATTTTCCTGTTACTTCTTATTTCAATGGTACAGCTTGATGAGTACCAATGAAGATTATTAATATTTAATAATTAATTATCGAGATAATTATATAATAATACTGTCAAATTTTAAATTTAAATATTAAAATATTGATATCTTCATCAAAATATAATAATATTTAATAAAAAAATATTCATTTTGAAGCTTGGGCCATGGGCTTTTATATAAAAAATATTTGTTAATATTTGATAATTAGTTATTGAGATAATTATATAATAATATTGTCATTAGATTTTTAAATTTCAAATTTAAAAGTTTTAATACTGATATCTTCATAAATACATAAAAGTTTTTAATAAATGAGTATTCATTTTAAAGCTTATATCATGAACTTTTACATAAAAAAGTTTATTGAGATAATTATGTAATAATATTGTCATTGGATTTTCAAATTTCAAAGTCTATAAATACTTTTTATTTTTTATTTTAGTATTTTAATTTCATTATGCCTTCCTTAAATCTTAGAAAAAACTTTCTTTTTTATTAAATTCTTATAACCCTTATTCTTTGCTTTTTAATTCTCATTCCTCATCATAAAAAAGTCTTATTGTATCAATTTTGCATGATGCTACTTTACAATTATCTAATAATCAACCAGAACAATTATATGATTATTTTTTAAATAATTCATATATTGGAAAATCATATTCCTCCAATTTCCAAAATAATTCAAAAATTACACAAAGCTCTAAAATACAACAATTATTCCAAAAGTATTTACATTTTTAAATAAATTTTGGAAATTTGAATCAAAAAATTTAACCAATTCAATAAATGAAGTACTTCAAATTCTTCCAAAAGAAAATAAAATCATAGACGAGGATTTGAAAACCTTGAAAGTGTTTTAAAATTATACTTTAATTCTTTGAATATTTCAATAAATAATTTTATATTGACAATATTTGAAACAGTTATAATAGAGAATGGTGGAATTGTTTAGACATCTA